GGAAAATGTTCATCTTCCGGTGTCCAGTTGTAGGACACACGGCATGAAAGTTGTATAGTTGGTGATGGAGCTTCATTTCTCCTTGGCTACCAGGAACCTTAGGGACAGGATGGGTGTTTTCAGCCTCACTCCTGTGTCTACTGGGTCCTCATCTTTGCTGCTGATCCTTCTTTGGCTTCTACTTTTGCACAGACCTTATGGTCTCATTCGTCTAGAATAAATTTGGGTCTAGTTGGTAATAAAAGGGGTATTTTTTACTGGGCATTCAGAATTATATGAAGAAGGTAATTTGAATATGGATTCTCCTCTTCCCCAAGAATTTTTTTTTTTTTTAAGATAAGGTTTTGCTATGCAGCTTGGGTTGGTCTGGCATTCACTGTGTAGACCAGACTGGCCTCAAACTAAAAAAGATCCACCTGCTTCTGCTTCCTGAGTGTTGGGATTAAAGGTGTATTCCACCATGTCTAGTCATCCCTAAGGAACTTTTGATGAGTCACTTCATCAGGCCTTGATGTACTGTACTCACCTGCAAAAGAGACAGGCAAATTAGGGCTACCTGATGGATGGGTGCTCCCTTCTGAGGAGGTGGCCTGGACGGTTGTAAGTGAGGGACACTGGCCCTAACTATAGAGAAGGGTGTGTCTCTACTTGTCATCTGTCTGGCCTTGAAGAAGCAGCTTATAGGCTCCTGCAGTGCAGACAGGTCTGGTTCAGTGACCACTGGCAGCTACTGAAGGCTGGCTGTCCACACTGCTGGTCCACGGTGCACAGGAGATAGGGATGCTTTTTGGGGGCCTGTCACCTGTGTCAGTGATCCCTGCAGAAACCAGAACAGCTCTGCTATCATCATCATTATGACTCCTTAATGGCTATCCCTGTGCCTCCTAGAACTGTAGTATGTCAGGGGAGAGGGGATACTAATGCTTCACCTAGAGCATTTCCCTCCTGAGAGACTACAGAGCCTTACCAGAGGCTTCCTTTGATGCTCGGGGATTTCTTAGCAAACTGAGCATGCACGATGAACACCTGAACTGTCTGTCCACGGCCTCCGGAAGGAGGTATTTCTGTGAGCTGGAAGAGTGCATGCTTATTGCATAAACACTGGGCCAGGAAGGAGGCGTGGCTTTGTGGATGATTCTGAGCACAGTGACAGGCATCAAATGGATTTCTAAACCGTGGCATCCAGGCTGACGTCTGAAATGAAATGGCTTCCTAGAGAAGACTGGGGCTCAGTGTTTTCTCACAGGTCCTGCAGCAAGGCAGAGCCAGGGAGACTCCTTCCTCCCAACCCTCTTTCTCTCGGGTGGTGAGAATGGGTAGTCTGGAGGGGGAGCAGCCACACCAGTAGCTCCTGGAGCACTGTGCACAGTCCTTCCTGGGGGAAATCTGTGCATCTTCAAATGTATGTATGGCGGAGCTTCTAATTAGTCCGAGGAAACAAATAGCTCTTTGGTCAGGAGGCAGCTTTGAGCGGCAGCTGACTGTCAACATTATGTTCTTAGGCTCTGCGTCCTGCCAATAACCCAGGCTGAGCCCCTCCTGGGCCTCCTGTTCCTCACTGTGCACCTGCTGCCTCTGATCTGCTTTTGCTTACAGGCATACTCCTGTATCTTCATCAGCTGGACCCACCCTAGATCCTATTCTCTCCTAAAAGGTGGTGCCCATAGGGTAAACCCTTCCCTGAGAGCTGCAATGCTTTGTGGTATTCCTTGGCCTCCAACTGCCAGGATTCCTTTCCAGCTGAGCTGTAATACTTACAGTGTAGTGCCCTTCTTGTGTCAACTCTGCTGGGCCAAGAGGTCCAGATGTTTGCTTACACGGCAATGTAGGTGTTGCTTTGAAGATGTCTTTAGATGAAGTTAACATTTACTCACTACACTGAATAAAACAGATTGCCCTCTGTAGTGTGGTGGGTGTCACACAATCGGATGAATACCTTCTTGCCCTTGTCTCCATCGTCTCTAAGAATGAGGACTTGGGTCCACCCTCCACCATGCATTTAGTAAGCTGCTCATTTCTGCCAGGTATGTGTTGTGATTCAGACCTGTTAGACTGCACTCTCAACCACGTTCTTAGCCAGAGTACAGTGCTGATACACAAGTCCCATTGCCTTTCAGTGTGACAAAGATGCTACAATGATTTCCAAAGGGACTTGGTCAGAGTTCTTACTGGCCCTTTGTGCTGATTCTTTCATTACAGTTAAAGTCCATGCTCTAATATCCTGACCTTTTACCCACAGTGAGGCCCACAGCCCCCACACAGCAAGACTCATGTCTCAACCAAAATGAAATTCACTGCATTGAGGCTTACCTAGGCTCTACAGAGCAGCCCACAGATCACATGGGATGCTCACACGGTTCAATGACTGAGGTTTATAGCTGCCCCATAGCGAAGTCTGCAGCTCATCCACAGTGAGGCTGGCAGTTCACCACTGTGAAGCCCATAGCTCACCCGCTGTGAGGTCCACGGCTCACCTATAAGAAGCCTATAGCCCATCACTCTAAACTACACAGCTCACTGACAGGCCTGCAGTTACTCAGTTTGAGGTTCACAGTTTATCACAGCACAGCCAGTGTGAGGTCCAAAGCCCACTCACCGAGTGACACACGGCTTACTCACTATTAGGCCTACAGCTCATACACTCGGAGGCACACAGCTTACTCACCGTGAGGTCCACAGTTCACCACTGTGAGGCCAACAGATCATCCACTGTGAGGTCCACAGTATAGCCAGTTTGAGGTCTAAAGCCTACGAATTGTGAGGTGCAGAGTTCCCCACCATGATGTCACAGCTCATCAAACTGATACCCACAGCTCAACTACTGTGAGGTCCATAGTTTCTCACAATGAGGACCATAGCTCAGCAAATATAAGGACCACAGCCTACCCACAGTGGGGCCCATAGGTCACCCACTGTGAAGTTCATAGGTAAATCACTGTGGGTTCCACAGCTCACCAAATGAGGCTCATAAAATACAACTGTGTGGTCCACAGTTCACCACTACGAGACTCACAACTCATCCACTGTGAGTCCTGAGCTCACTACTGTGGGGTTCAAAGTTCATCACTGTGAAGTTCACAGGTCATCTACTGGTAAGTCTACAGTTCACACACTGTGAGGTCCAGGTCTCACTATTGTGAGTCTCACATGTCATCACTGTGAGGCTCACAGCTCACCATTATGGGTCCTACAGCTCGTCACTGTGTGGTCTGATGCTCAGCCACTGTGAGGTCTATATCTCACTCGCACTGAGGTGCATAGCTCAACCATTATGAGGTCCTGAGCTTATCTACTGTGAGTTCCTGAGCTCACCATGGTGAGGCCCATAGCTTACCATGAGGCGTAGAGCTCTTTTACTGTGACGTCCACAGCTAATCACTGACAGCTCTCTTGTGGGATCCACAGGCCCATAGCTCAGTACTCAGCACCTCAAGGTCATGTGTAGCTGAATGTTTTCCTGGTCCTGCCTGGCTCCCTTGGTTTCATGGTCCTGTAGTCACTCAGACCCAAATGAACACATAGAGGCTTATATTAATTACAAACTATATGGCCTAATGGCTCAGGCTTCTCACTGTCTAGCTCTTACATCTTAAATTAACCCATTTCTATAAATCTATACTTTGCCACGTGGCTTGTGGCTTACTGGTATCTTTACATCTTGCTTCTCCTGGGTGCGGCTAGCGGCATCTCTTCTGCTCTGCCTTTCTCCTTCCTCTCTCTCTAGTTGGAATGTCCTGCCTAACCTTATTCTGCCTCACCATTGGCCAAACAGCTTTATTTATCAACCAATCAGAGCAACACATATTCACAGCATACAGAAAGACATTCCACATCAGTCATGTGTCACCATGGTAAGGTGTACAGCTTACCAATGTGTAATTCAAGGTCTACCTGCTATGATCTCCTAAGTTAGGCACATAGCTCACCCACAGTGAGGAACCCACTAACTCACCCACTGTAAGGTTCATAGTTCACACTGTGAGAACCTCGGCTCACCACTGTGAGGATCAACTATAAGGGGAACAGCTCGTCTATTGTGAGGTCCACAGTTCAATGCCGAGTCCCACAACTCACCTATACTGAGACCCCCAGCTCATCATTCTGAAGTTGACAGTTTAGAACTGTGATCCCATAATGCCCCCAGCTTACCCTAAGATTCACAGTTCACCCAATGTGAGGTCCAGAGTTTTTCTACAGTGTCTTAGAGTTTTTATTGTTATGATAAAACACTCTGATCAAAAGCAACTTGGGGAAGTAAGGGGTTGATTTAATCTTACAGCTTATAAAGTCATAATCCATCACTGAGAGAAGACAGGGTAAGAGTTCAAGGCAGGAATCTGGAAACAGGAACTGAAATAAAAACTATAAAGGAAGCTGCTTCATGGCATGGTCCTCTTGGCTTGATCAGCCTGCTTTCTTATACCATCTAGGATCACCTCGCAGGGAGGGCACTACCCACAGTGAGCTGAGCCTTCCTCCAACAGTCATTAATACAGATCATACTCTCACAGACTTGCCTACAGACTAATCTTATGGGGGCATTGTCTCAATTAAGATTCTTAATTGAGAAATTAAGAATTTCTCACACGTATCTAGGTTTGTATCAAGTTGACATAAAAACTAGGCACCACACCCAATGAGGGTCAAAGCTCCCTTGTCTGAATTCCACAGTTTCCCTAATGTGAAAACCTGTGTTCACCACTGTGAGGTCCACAGCACATCACTGTGAGTTTCATAGCTCAATCCTATGAGGCCCATGGGTCACCAAAATGAGGTCCACAGAACACAATAGTGTAGACTCAGAGCTTACTCTCTATGAGGTCCTGAACCATCATCACCATGGGACCCAATAGCTCACGAATGAGGTTTATAAATCTTTTCTGTGGGTTCATAAGCCACCCACTGTAGGTTCACAGTTCACCTACTGTGTGGCCTGTATCTCACTACTGTCAAGCTCAACACGTCACTATTGTGAGCCCCACAGCTCCTGAGTGTCTTACCTGTTATGAGACTCCCATCCTGTTACTGTGGCATCCACAGCACACCACTGTAAGGCCCACAGCTTGTCATTGTGGGGTTTGTAGTTCACCATTGTGAGGCTCTTAACTCACCCATTGTGAGATCTACAGTGCTCATTCTTTGAGGCCCATAGAACACAACTGTGTGGTACATGGTTCACCATCATGGGTGAACTTGAAATGCACAATTGACCCACTGTGAAGTTCACAGTTTACTCACAGTGAGTCTCACTGCTCATCTACTCACAGCTCAGTGACATCCACAGTTTTCTATTGTGAGGCTCACATGCCACTGTCAAGAGGCCAACAGCTGAGGAACTGAGTATTTCATAGCCTACTAACTGTGACCAATCAGAATGGCAAGATCAACAAAGCAATTGACAACAAATACTGGAGGGGCTTCAGGGGTGGGGATGGGGGAGGGAGGAAGGGAACACTCATTCACTGTTGAGGGGTGGGAGTGGGGATTGCAAACTGGTGCAGCTACCATGGAAATCAGTGTGGAGAAATCTTAAAAAGCTAAAACTAAAACTACCATATAACCCAGTTGTGCCACGCTTTGGCATATGCCCAAAGGACTCGATATCCTACTCCACAGATGCTTGCTCAGCCATGTTCATTGCTGCTCTATTCACAATGGCTAGGAAATGGAAAAAACCTAAATATCCTTCAACCAATGGGTGGGTAATGAAAAACTGGTACATATATACACTATAGAATATTATTCGGCTGCAAAGAAAAATGGAAGCATAAACCTTGCTGAGAAATGGGTGGAACTAGAAAAGATCATATTGAGTAAGGTAACCTAGACCCAGAAGGACAAATGTCTCATATTCTCTCTCATTGGAGGCTCCTAGTTCCAAATCTTCAGATGTGAGTACATACCCTGGAGTAACAACAGAAACCAGGAAAGTAAAATTGGACCATTGCCCATGTAGAGGAGCAGGGAAGAATATAGAGGGGTGTAGCATGGTATGAGTCATTTGAGAGGGGAAATGGGAAAAAAGGGGAGGTCCTTTAGGGAGGGGAAGGGAGATAAACACAGAAGGAGGGAGGTGGGTAAAAAAAATAAGGACTTCTGAAAAAGCCACAAAGAATCATACTATCAACTATATACCTAACCCCCCTACAATACACATAATTCCATGTATAAATATACACTGTAGTTTTAATGGGCTTATCTCATTTGGGCAAAGGTATTCCCTTCAAGAGCCACAGACCACCTGACAGAAACTTGAACACCAGACATGAGAAGTCCCCTTGTTATTTATTGGCCAGGGTTGTACGAGGAACTCCCCAAACATACAGCCTATTGCTGCTGCTCTTGGTTACCTCAGAGGTGGAAGGTAAGTTCTTACTACTGAAGATACCATGTATTTCAGACACCGGGCCCAGAAGCCCTGAGATGGGACTGACCTGAATGACCCCTCCCCGAGGACCAGCTTTCATTGTACCAAAAGGTGCAAGCAAGATTCCAAAGGAGGGAAGCAGCCAACAGTCCTACCAAGCTATGATGCTTATGAACCATGTCAATGACCAGCATGGCATGATAACCCTAAGGGTGTAGTAGTGGCAGACATGCCTTGCTGGTAACCAGCAGTTCTGTAATTGGACTTAAGTGCTAGTGAAGTCATGGCTATTAGAGGAGAATCTGCAGTCACTAATTTACTAAAGCAGTGTAATCCCTAACAACAACCTATAAATATTTATCTTTATGTTCACAGATAAGTGTAGTTTCCACCCATCATCAGGGAAACTTCTCTTTGCAACCGACAGAGATTATTATAGAAAAGCACACCCAACCAAAATGCAGAGCTGTGGGGCCCAGTCCATCTACAAAACACTTCCACACCTAACATTCAGGGAACATTGTGGAAGAGGGGGCAAGATGATTGTAAGAGCCAGAGGACCAGGGAGCTTGCCATGATTGTGTCTCTTAGTAATATCACAAGCTTCACTCATAAGGCCTCACCAACATGACTGTCTAAACATGAGATGAACAAGGATGATGCCAATGGATATGACAAAATGGATGGGGAAAAGCCCATGAGGCTTCAACCCTACACAGAACTACAGGCAACTGAGGAAAGCTGGTCTTCTCTAGTGAAGAGCACACCAATGGGCTGCCCAGTGCCAAATGGTCAGTCCTGAAAATATACATACAGGTAACATTACATGGATTGAGTGGGTTATATTTAAGAATATAAATGTATTACACATACACATGTATGCATACAACAACAATTAGTGAAAAAAGAGGCCATATTTTTTCAGATTGCATTTTAGAATTAAAAATAGATTTTTTTTTCCTACAATACATTCTGATTATGGTTTCCCTTCCCCCAGCTCCTCCCAGATATTCCCCAACTCCCTACCTACTCAAATCTTCTTTCTTACTCTCATTAGAATACAAACAGGCATCTAAAAATACAAAATAAAATAAGATAAAAACAAACCAACAAACAAACCAGACTAGGACAAAGCAAAGAAACTATCTGGGGAAATGGAGCCCAAGAAAAAGCACACGAAACACGTGTAGACACAGAGACACACACATTTGCATAGGCATAAATCCTGTTAAAAACACAACACCAGAAACCATAATATATACACAAAAGACCTGTAAGGGGAGAATAAATAAATGAATGAATAAAGAAAGAAGACAAATAATGCTCAGACAAAGCATTATGAGACGAAGAACTTCCAAAAATGTCATTGAGTTTGTTTTGTGTTGGCCATCAACTCCTGGATGGTGTGTACATCCAGTGAGACTCTGTTGAAGACAACGGAGTTTCCCTTTGTCAGCTGTTATCAAATGGAGATTCCTTCTTGGTTAGGGATGGGAGCTTGTGTCCACTTCCCATCCCAGTGCCGGGACCCTGTGTGGCTTAGTACAGGGGCTGTGTATGCTGCCAAGTCTCTGTGAGTCTGTATGTGCAGCAATCTTTCTGTGTTTAGAAGGCTTTGTTCTCCTGGAGTCCTCCATACCCTCTGGCTCTAACAATTTTGACATTTCCTCTTCCACAGGGTTCCCTGAGCTCTGAGGGGAGGGATTTGATAGAGATATCCCATCTATGTTCTCTAAGTGGGTTTGTGCTTTCAAACACTTGAAAAAAGTTTGAAGTATAATGAATTTGACAAATGGCAATTATATTAAGTTCATGTTTCCCTGTTCATGAAGTTATGTTGGATCACAGCAACACTCAGTGTATTGCCGGTGGTGGCCCCTGTGTTCTAAAGACTGAATAACTTTGACAGGGAGTACAAGTGTGCCATTTGCTGGGATGAGTCTTAGCATTGTTGACCGAGTGGCTTCCAATGCCAACACTAAGGGCATTCCTCTCTGTGCTGTTCCTTTTCTTTGATGAATGTTGGTTGGTTCAAGTCCAATCTCTGGGTCTCTAGTCAAGAGAACAGATCAGGGCTCCAGGACCCTTGGAGAGGTGTCTCACAGTTCCCTGGGACAGATTTGAAGGGCAAGGACTGTCCTTCAATTGGTCTATGGGTGGTCATCTTATTCCTCTGTTTATATTGCCAAAAGGTCTCCCAACTTTGGTAGTTGAGCACCCAAACGGGAAAGTTGAATTTGTCTTGTAGTTTTAACTTTTGGGTAACATTTAGATAAAGCTCAGACTGAAACCCAAACAGTTTTAAATAAATGCTGATTAGATACACATTCTTTGGTATTTAAAATCAGTTTTAGTAAATGCTACAAAGAGCAGGTCAATAACTTAAGAGAACTCTATGGATTTAAACAGAAGTTCGATACCAAGGAACTGTTAGACTTGAGGAAATTTAGTATCCTTTAGTCATCTTATATATATAAAATCTCTAAGTTGCATCTTTTAAACCTTGTGTCCAGTGGCTCTCAAGGACCCCCAGGCCTTCCCCACCCCATAACTATGCCATTAAAAAGGGAGGCTGAAGAGGAGCTGTAATAGTCCAACTTACAGTTTCCAGTTAAAGAAATAAAAATAGATATTGAAAACAGTCACTGAAAGTATCAAACAAACATAGTGCTAGATGACAAATGAGAAATTACAGTGGATAATTCAAATGATGTGCAGCTAAGACAGCGTAGGGAGGAGGGGAGAAAAGGAACAGAAGTCATCTCACTAGACCACTCAGTGTGCCTTTTCTAATCCTGAACACAATAAAGAGACGGTAACAAAGTCATTAGGTGGTAAAATATTAATACCCTCCAAAGATACCCAGATGTTACACTATTCCAAAATGTCCTCTTTGAAATGAGAGGGTAGGTCCTTAGGCACGCCCAAACACAAACAGGACACTATAAATATCCACAAAGAGAAAGCTCTTGTTATTTGTTATTTGGGTCCTTTTTAAGCCTCTTTGAACTGCTATCACCTTAATTCCCACTAATAAAAATAATCCTGAGAGACACATCGTTTTTATTTATAAAACAGGAGTATAAAAACTCTGCAATCAGGAAACCATTGTCTTTCAGAGTTTGCAAAAAGCAAGTTGATCCTATTTGTGAGGTAAAAATAGTAAGTTAAAAGAGAAAATCTGCACTGGGATTTTGTTTTTGTAAACAGATGTGTCCACCTTTACCTCTATTGCTAGAAACAGGAAATATTAAGGTCCAATCACAGCAATAAAGTTTTGGTTAACTGAATGACTCTTTGCAGTTTATATTTTTTGGAGACATTTAATTACTAAGGTAAAGGGGATTTTTAAAGATTAAGAATTCCAGCATTTTTAGATGTATGGAAGGGGAAGAGGGTCTGAGAACCCTCATACTCTGAAGGAGGGTCCGGAGGAACTTAGGCTCATCGGCAGAACAGGGGCCAGCCCCTTTAAGACGTTTATTCCTCAGCGTCCCAGGACATTGCAACTTTTACAAATTGCTAAAGGGTTGGTGGGAGGAAAAGAGCCTGTCCTGGGGAGGACACCTCAGGCAGGGCTGAAGAGAGGGCGGGGGAGGGCCTTGGGAGTCGATAAAACACCGGACCCAGTGTCCGCTGGCAACTCCCAGCTCTGGATTCCTTTCCTTCCAGGCGAGAGCTGTTTGCCTGTACTAATGAATCGGTCATTTCCCTTCTCCATTCTCTCCTGGTGGCTGTTGCCTTCCTGTTCTGCTCATCCGTGGTCCTCAGGTCCCCACA